GTCTCCGGCCTAGTGACAAGTACCAAGTCTACCCACGGTGCACGAAACTCTCTAATATGTCCGTGGTTACACAGATTCAGGCATGCCACTACTAAATCCTGCCACCCAAAGCATCACCCCTGTATGTACTGTGTGTGTGGATGAACGTCTGTGTGGATGGTGTGGACACAGACTCAGTCTGCCTCTTTACACAAAGCACGTTTGGTTTCCCTTTAGAAACTTACACCACTTGGTCAATAAACTTCTTCTGATCCTCAGGGACGACCACAGGGCACTTTGAAGTGTTGGGAGACACGTAAGACAGAACTCCTGCACCGTTGGACTGTAAGCGTTTCTCATCATACTGTTCTCGTAACTGTCTTTCTTCCTCCTGATTTAAATATGGAATTCCTAAACACGATTTTAAGAAGAATGTGTTAACAGAAGGAGCGGCTTAAGAATTTCAAATTCTCAAATATTCCCTGAAGTCTTCCTAGAACGAAAACAACAGTTCGGCTTAACTAGTAAAGACTGTGTGCCCTGAGCACTGTGCTCTCAAGACCTACTATACGGGATCAAACGAACTGGGTGACATGGGGAGCTGAGGGGCAGTGAGCTGATGTTAATGGGGAGGAACGACTCAGGAAAGGACGGTGAGACGGTTGCACAGCCTGAAGACTATGACCCGTGTCACAGAATTGTACACGTGGAGATGGATGAATAGGGGTATGTTTCACTGTGTCTGTTCTCAACAACAAAAAACTAAAAATTAAAAGAGAAAAAGAATTTGAAATTCTCAGACTCCAGACTTTCTAGAGCCATGGAGGCTGGAAGAACCCCTCAAACTACTGCCCTGACGTAATCTTTAAACCTTAAACCAAAAACATCCCCTGAAGTCTTCTTAAAACTGAACAACAGTTCAGCCTGACTAGTGAACAATGCCCACCTTGAGCACTGTCCTCATTTACGAGCCGTCTAGATGAAATCTAAGGAGCTCTGCTGGCACAGTGGTTAAAGAGTTTGGCAGCTAACCAGAAAGCTGACAGTTCAAACCCACTAGCCGTTCCGCAGGAAGAAAGATGGGGCAGTCTGCTTCCATAAAGGTCTATAGACCTAGAAACCCTGTGGGGCAGTTCAACCCTGTCCTATAGGGTCACTACGAGTCAGAACCGGCAGTGGACTTTTTATATGGGATCAAAGTGGTAAGAGCAACTTGAGAGATTAGACAGGAACCTCAGGGAGCAGTGAGTCTATGCCAATGGGGAGGAGCAACTCTGAACAGGGAGGGCAGCACTGGGAGGGGAGCATTGGGAGGGGAGAAGGGCTGCGTAATGTCAGGGGGCAGTGAGTCTATGCTGAGGGGGGAGGGGCAACTGCAAACAGGAGGGGAGCACAGGAAGGGGAGAAGGGCTGCGTAACCCAGAGAATGTGATCAGTGCCACAGAACTGCACACGCAGAAACCACTGAACTGATGTGTGCTGTGCTGTGTGTATTCTCAACAGCACCAACTAGCTCTGGAAGTATATCACTCAGAATCTTACCGTTGCGAAAAACCTTGTTGAAGTCAAACCCCTGGCTGGCTAGAAAGTCAATGCTGGAGCTCTGAAACAGTAACAAACAAAACAGATCTTTTTAGTGATGTCAGGGGCAGGTACGGGAACAGAAGCAGGGAAGTTACCAGAGGAAGGTAAACAATGACACTCAGGCAGAGCGCAGCCTGCCACAGTCGGACGACAAGGATGCCAAGGAACCCACTAATTAACCTAAAATATCTGGGCTGTTCTCCTTTACAGCTTGTGAAAGAAATACCCTTTGCTTCATAATGTTTAAGAAAAAGCCACTGTGTGAGCAGACATTGCCCCAACAGGCAGAAGGAAATGCCTGACAGCTGTACAGATGACTGCGTCCACTGCCCTCATGTAGATTCCACTACGACCCACGAGGGCAGAGACATGCCCCACAGGGTTTCCAAGGCTGTAACTTTTACGGGACCAGAATGCCACATCTTTCTCCTGCAGAGTGGCTGGTGGGTTCAAACCACCAACCTTTTGGTTAACAGTCGAGCACTTAACCACTGTGCCACCAAGCTCCTTCCTATACTGACTGTCATGCTGTTAGGTGCCATCAAGTCAGTCCAACCCACAGCGACCCCATGTACAACGAAATGCGACACTGCCCGGCTGTCATGTTGTTAGGTGCTGTCGAGTCAGGTCCAACCCACACTGACCTGGTGCACAATGGAATGAAACACTGCCCAGCTGTCATGTTGTTAGGTGCCATCAAGTCGACTACAACCCAGTGTACAATGGAATGAAACACTGCCCAACTGTCATGCTGTTAGGTGCCATCAAGTCAGTCCAACCCACAGCGACCCGGTGTACAACAGAATGAAACACTGCCCTACTGTCACGTTGTTAGGTGCCGTCGAGTCAACTACGAGCGGTGTACA